AATGTATGAGAGTTGATTAGCATATCTGTCATTCCTATTCAAACCTGCTTCGGTTCGGAATGTATCTTCGGGCCCCGGCTTTACCAAAGCCAAACGACAAGTTTGTATTCAGAGAACCTTTTTAAAATAGAGCCTGTAAGAAATGGGTAAGTTTTGTGCCATTTATTATTTTATTTCAATGTCGTTAACGGCTTAATTGGTTGAAAAACGTATGAATTGACTTGTTTTGGTTGCTTTGAGTTCTCGTGAGGATATTCACTCCAAAAGATTCTTGTACACTTGTACTGAAGTATTATTTTTATTATTGTTTTACCGTTCCTTTCGCCATCACATAACTTTTTCTGCAGCGTTTTTATTTTCACTGTATCGCCATGCCAGTTTTTATTTATGTAAAACGTGCGTTGGTGTTTGGTTTCTCAGGTGTTACAGCGCTTCTCAATCACACGCGCGAAATCATAAAAAAAATTCGAGACATAAAAAAGTTTTGGTGGGCGCCAATCAAAGTGTTTCCCAAGCATTGTAGGAAAACACAAAGCTTTTAAGGGCACGTGCCTAAGGAATGTCATGGAAACGCATTGATTGACGTCCACCAAAACTTTTTTCACCTACTTCGTCACGATTGCAAATTGTACGCCGATTTCACGCCTGTGATCGAGAAGCGCTGTAATCCTGACGTGCGTTACGTTTATTCACAGTTTGATTTGTAATTTGTTACCCATTCACAAGGAGTATATAGCTGCAATTTTAAAAACGAATCTTGCCGTATTTTGTCTTTACATAGGAAAGAGTGCAATGTGGCAATCCACATATCCGTGAAATAGCACTAAACACATCTATTTCTTTTGTTTTCATTTGTTCCATTGGTGCTATTTTGTACTAACTAGTTAGTATTGTATCGCGGCCATATGGTTTGTACTCTCTTCGAATGTAAAGCCCCGTTTACACTAGCGATTTTTGCGGCGATTTTTGCTGCGATTTTTTTTTGTTATTTTGTCCATAATAAATAATGGTAAAGAATTTACTTGTAAAGTTTTTTTCAGGATACCAAGATTTYCCTAGACGAATGTCTCTTTTGAAGGATGAGACAAAAGATTTCATATTTCCGAAAATTGTCACAAAAATCGCCAGTTTTAAACTCAAGTGAAATCACGAGCAAAACCGAAAGTTTTGAACGTTTTTGACCGGCTGCGTGTGATTACAGGCTTGACTTGTGATTGAATGGGATGTTTTGTGGAAAAGGCTACATCCCGGGCGTAGAGTTCATATCATGGGCCCCTGACAGCGCAAATTACATACAATGTTTGTATTTTATGGGGTCCTTCTCCGCCCGGGATGTATTCTTCTCCATATGTATATTGCCTTTACTTTTGAAACCCATTTGAAAGTCGTTTTTCTTCAATTTCAATCACTTCTACGTATCGGGGGGTAAAAATCATAAAGAGTAGATCCTGTCTGACCGTGAAAAACTCAATCTACAGACTAATCAAGTCCTGGCCTCACTTTCTGTTTGCTTCGACAAGCTCAAAAATTCTTTTCTCCACGCGCGATTTTCCATTTTGTCGCAGCGGATAGAAAGGGAGTCCGGTACTAGACTAGGCTCATACTTGCTGTGCCGTGTTCTCAAATGTGATCTTAAGGACAGGTAGCCTGGGATAACGGAGACCTTAAGATTCCATGAAAGCCCCGCAAAGAAAGGGGGATTAATCCTTAGAATTTTAGCGATACCATGCAGGTGAATGTCACAGCGCAGCTCAAAAGAGAGATCACATTGGATTATAGCATGCATGGTCTGGTTTTCTATTTAGAAAGCGCCAAGTTTTGACCGCCAAATGTCCAAAAGTAGTGCCCAGTCTCTTAGGGAAGAAGAAGGTGTGTTGATTGGATGTTGTATGGTGGCTTGAGCGGATACTTTTGATGCTCGAAAAACCATTTCCTTTTGCGACAAAAACAAAACAAATGACCCCTTTGACACCTATTTCACTTGCTCTTTTAGAATTTCTTAGTTTTTGCCTCAAAATCCAAAATTTTGGAAAATCAAAATCTGGATTAACCCCTTGGATCGGACTTTTTTAGGTGGAGTGTGGGAATGAGGAAAAATATTATTTCAGTATTTTAACTCAAAATCTTCCTGAAAAGTCTAACATTACTTATAAAATTACATCGACGCAGTTATTTTTAGAAATCGATAAATGATATGGCTTTTGTAAGAAGGAAACTTTAAAGGGTACTCAGTAAGAATCTGTGAATTTATTCCACTTATTTCTTTTCTTTCTCGAAACAGAAATCAAAATAGACGTTCTAAAACTCCTCACTTGCGGTCATGCGAGATACCAAGCTAAAACAAACAAAAAAAAGAGCGGCGTACATTTACCACAGATACGGTAAAGGGTAAAAGGAAAGTCTTTCAAAGGGATTGATCTTTTGCAAGGTATCCCCGTATCAATGCTATTCAAGTGGAAACAGAAAACGTGAGTTGTAATATTTATGTTTGTTCAAAAAATATGACAAAAAATGTGTGTGTTTATTATTGACTATTTAAAAGTATGGAGTACCTGTGGTACGACGAAGGCAAAAAGATAACACAGGGAGCCCAATCCCTTTTTCTACATTGTTCTGAATCAACTTGAAAACCAGATTGTGTTTTACGCCTTCTTTGGACTGGCCTCTTTACTCTTTTTCAAATCAAGTCATATGATAATTATTTTGCTTCAAGAAGTTCATATCCAGTGAAAGGACCCTTTAAAGCAACTGCTAAGCCATCACGATTCGTTCTTCCATTAAGTTTCTTTTTATCTTGATAAAGAACAATTAAGGGAAATATTTTAGAAACCTTAAACTCTTCTTTTTCATCATCGAAAAGTTATATATTTTGGTCAATCCAGAGCAAAWAAATAAATAAATAAAATAGTTTAAAAAAATTAATGGACATATATTGCTTAGCAGTTGAAAAGGAGCTTCAAAGGTCCTTTCACTGGATGTGAACTAGGCCGAGTGAGACCATGAGGGTGAGACTTTTTCACATCGATTGAAGGGACTCTTTACCGATCGGAAAACTGATATATTTTGGCAAGAGAATATGAAATAATATTCTCTTGATTTTTGTCAACTCGGCTGACTAAAGAAACAAATTTATGAATAAAAGAGATCAAACGAAAGTTACTGGACGAATATCGTTCAACAGTTGATTAGGAAGTTCAAAGGTCCTTTCACTGGATGTGAACTAAGCATGAGCCAATGATGGAGCAAATTTTTCACATCCATTAAAAAGACTTTTTTCAACCTTAAGGAGTTTTATATTTTTGGTCAACTCAAACAAAACATTTAATAAATAATTAATTAAAGATTTAAAAAAATAATGATCAAATATGTTCAAGGGTTGATAGGGATGTGAACTAAGCACGAGACCATGAGGATGAGACTTTTTCACATCCATTGAAAGGACTTTTTTCATAATTGAAAAGCTATATAATTTGGACAACTCAACTCAAAACGAAACAAATAAATAAATTTAGACTAGTTTACAAGTGTGGATTTAATTTCCAGCATATGTAGTTTTTAAGTTTTGACAGTTTCTCATTTTTAGAGAACTTCAAGTCATATACTCTCCTTTGCTTAATAGATAGAAAATTGTGCTTGATATATCAAGGAAATCCAGCAGTATCAAAAGCTTGTTTAATAAAATATGTATAATGTTTAGGTCACCCGTCCAAATACTAACCCTCCTCAGACGAGCTTGACTC